CAATTAAATTAACATATCTTAAAAATTATTACTAAAACCTAACAATTTCTAATTTCATAAAAAATTTGAGGATTTTAACCTAAACATATTTCTACCAACTAATTATTATCAAACAATCCCAATAAACATGCAAAAACTCACCGCTACGTTGACTTTCATGAATTTCTTGAGCTCTCTCGGTTCTCCTCTTCTTCTACACTCCTCTTTCTCTCTTGCCTCTTTACTAGCTTTCTATTTCTCTTCTATCACATTTCTCTTGTTTTATAAAACTCTCACAATTTCTCAAAACCTAATCATTTTTAATGGGCTTACTAATCCATTTCTATTCACATCCCCAATTAGACCCAACAAATAAATTAATCTAACAATTCTATATTATTCTACCAAATATAATATATCAAATAAATTAAATAATCAACTTAAATCAATTATTTCAAATATGTCCGATAAATCAATTAATCCAAACAACCTCTAATAAATTATACAAATATAATAAATCAATTAATTCATATAAATCAAATATTTCATATAAATTCAATAAATCAACTAATTCAAATATATCAAAGTAAATCAATTAATTCAAATGAATCACATAAATTAGTTAATTCAATTAGGCACAAAACCATTTAATTAATCAATTAATTAAATTAAATTAATAATTACTAAAAATTGGGGTGTTACACTCTACGTCTGGCGGCTAGATCAATATCACTTCCATTGTAGTGATGAACTCCATCCTTAGCCAACATAGCATAATATTCAATTTCACTAAGTCCCTAAGTTTTTCAATACGTCCTTCGACCATGCCATCTTCGACCGATATCACCCTATGTGAATTCGACCTTGAGCCATGTTAATCATGTGGACTTACTCTTTTTTTTATCTTCTACATGGCATATCTATGGCTAGTCTCATGAGTACTTGCCATTTATACTCAAGTTGAAAAATCCAGTGTAACAGGTATGTACTTAATCTTAAGAGAAATTTGATTTCTCTTACTGAATTCAACAAGAAAGGATATGTGTTTAAGGGAGAGCAAGGTATCCTGAGAGTCATGAAGGGACCGGAAGAAGTCTTGATATGTAGAAAGGAGCAAGGCTTGTATATCCTTGAGTCTGAGGTTGTAAATGGTTCAGCAGACATTGCATCCACAAAACCCGTGTCGAAGACAAAGCTATGGCACATGATATTAGGCTATGTCAGTGAAATGGGTCTGGTCGAATTGTTGAAACAAAATCTGCTATGTGGTGAAAGGTCGAAAAGCTAGATTTATGCGAACCTTGTATGTTTGGTAAAGCCTGTAGAGTGAAGTTCAATAAACAAACAAAGAACACATGGATCCTTTGATTACATTCATATTGATCCTTGCATGCCTGCAAGAAATCTCCCACACTCAGGTGCGAGGTATTTTCTATTCATAGTTGATGATTATTCCAGAAAGTTATGGATATTCAATCAGAAGACTAAGGACGAAACTTTTGAGAATTTCAAAAGTTGGAAGACTCTGGTTGAAAATCAGTTTGGCAGGAAGGTCAAGAGGTTGAGCACCGTTAATGGCCTTGATTCTGCAATGAAGCTTTCGATAGTTATTATGTTATATCTAGTATTGCTAGGAATAATAATGTAGCACATACTCCTCAGCAAAATGGTCTGGCTAAAAGATTCAATCAAACTATCCTGGAAAGTGTTAGATGAATGTCAGTTAGCGTTGAATTAAAGTTGTTTTAGGATGAGGTTTCTATTACTGTAGCATACCTGATAAATAGGTGCCCTTCGACTGCTTTGGGGATGAAGACACTTGAATAAGTTTGGTCGGGTAATCCACCAAATCTTGAGAAACTTATAATATTTAGTTGTGTAGCTTATGCTCACATTAGGCAAGACAAAGTCAAACCTAGAGCTCTGTGATGCATGTTCCTTAGATATCTAGAAGGAGTTAAAGCCTATAGGTTATGGTGCCTAGAACCAAGTCACAAGAGGTGTATCACAAGTCGCGATGTGGTTTTCAATGAAGCATAAATGACTTTCAAGAAAACTGACGATGATGGTCGAAATGCAAAGATCTCTCAAGATGAGCTAGAACATGAAGAATTTCTTGTTGAGGTGGAACATGTTGATGTTGAATTGCATAACCCAGATGAAGTCGAAGAAGAAGCACAAGGTGCTGATGAAGATGAGGAGACTGATAATGAGTATTTGTTGGCAAGTGACATGGCAAGGAGAATCATCAAGCCACCTTGTAGACTTGGCTATGTAGATCTGATAACATTCTCCTTAATATATGCAAGTGAGGTTCTTGATGAAGAACATAAAGACTAAAAGGAAACTATAAGGAGTCGAAATAAAACTGAATGAATGAAATCCATGGATGATGAGGTGAAATCTCTTCATGGTAACAACACTTGGGAGTTGATCAAGAAACCTGCAGGGGACAGGTTAGTCATCTATAAGTGGATTTTTAAGGTTAAGGAAGGAATTGAATGAGTGATGTTGAAGAGATTTAAGACAAGATTGGTTGCTAGGGGGTTCACTCAGAAAGAAGGAGTTGAATTTAATGATGTGCTCTCACGTGTTATAAAGCATAGATCCATTAGAATATTGTTGGCTCTGGTGGTGAAATTTGACTTAGAACTTAAACAGATGGATGTGAAGATCTTCTTCTTGTATGATGATCTAAATGAAATAATTCTGATGAAGCAACCTAAAGGGTAGGCAGAAAGAGGAAATGAGACTTATGTGTGCAAGCTGAGTAGGTCATTGTATGGCCTGAAACAATATCCTCGATAGTGGAATAGAAGATTTGATAAGTTCAGGGCACACATAGGTCTCTCTCATTGAAACGATCTTGCAAATGATCTCTTCCTTTGCCTTATCAACATTCCTTTCCTCCATTCTCTATTCACTTTCCTCAAGAGAGTTTCGCATCTCCTCTTTGCCCATCGTCACAAGATCCTTTGATTCCTCAATCATTGCGACTATGTTATCAAATATTGTTGTTAAAGAGTATAATATTTTCGTGACAACATACTGATATGTGATCGTTTCTCCACACGCCTTTACTTGGTTCACCAACCGAGTAATTATCGTCGCAAAATCGTTGATGATCTCCTTCTCTTCCATTTGAATCAACTCAATCTGACGTTTATGAGTTTGTAAACTCACAACCTTCGCCTTGTTATTCCTTGCACGCGCCTTATCCAAGATTTTCCATGTGTGCTTCGATGATTCATAGTCTCCAACTTTCTTGAAATTATTTGCATCAACACATTGATAGGTAAAAAATAACGCATTGTAAACTTCCGTCTTCTCCTCCTCCTTATGCTTAGACAGTTGTGCATCGGATGCACCTTCTACAAATCGTTCTTGATCACTTTAAGAACATCTTGATAGATAAACAACACTTTCATTTGTTTGAACCACTTGTCGTAATTCTTCGCATCGAGAATTGAGAGATTTGCAAAAATTATTTCATTGGAGACATAAGTCATGTTTGCGCACTAGGTGTTTGATGGACCGAACTAGACACTTGATGCTGAATGTTAGAACATGGAACCATAGGGTTTGTGGATAATTGAGAAATTGAGTGTGAAGAGGGAGGGGAGAGGGAGATAATGAGAACGAGTGATAATTGATGGTGAAAATATGCAATCCATTATTCATGAAATATCCCAAGGATATTTATACAATTACATAATGAGGTACAATTATCAAATAAAATAAAAACTTAAAACATCTGTTGACATAATATGTCAATCGATTATAGTTCACTATTGAGTCAGTTTTTAATTTAAAATACATCAATGTAATGTTGACATATTATATCAATCAATTACATTTTACTATTGTAAGTTTCTATTTAACAAATTAAAGGGATGTAACTGGTTGACATAAAAGTAGTAAATTAGCTTTTTCTCTCTACATACGAGGTTAACTAGAATCTTTGCAAAACAACGTAGAAACAGGTAGAGCTGTCAAAATGGACCACCTGACCTTAAATGGATTGGTCCTGATGGGTTCGGACTTTTAGGACTGGGCAAAAGAAAACCAATATCTAATATGAGCTCGAAAATTATTACCCGAGCCCGAACTTAGATGAGCTTCAGGCTATCCAGTCATAAATGGGTTTCTTTTAGTAAAAAATTCCATAAGATTTATTATAAATAAAATTAAAAATTATATTATTTTAAACATAATATATTTTTAAGTACTATATTATCTTTTATACATACTATAATGTGTTTTTAAATACAATACATGTCTAAATTATATAAAATGATACTCGAATATTTAATATAAGAAAAATTAATACAATACAAAAAGAGAGTGATCATTATATTAATGTATAATATTTAAAAGAGAAAGATTGAATAATATAGAAGATTGCAGCAACAATATATATATAGCATGAATTTGATTTTTATTCTATTCAAGAGTAAAAATTACAAGGAAGAAATTGAGGAGATCAGATTCAAAACCAAGACCAATATGTCTTGACAAGCAAAAAGACATTAAAGCAAAAGCTGCAAAAGAGTACAAAGATGTTAGCAACAAAACAAGAACCCTCAAATGAGCTTTCAACAAGAATCTCCTTAAAATTTTCAATTTTTTCAAAAATAACAATACTGAAACTTACCAGTGTAAACAAAATATTTTATGAAGTTCCACTCTCCAAAAGATGATTGAAAGAAGAGCTGAACTCATAAAAAATGAGTTCAACAATACATGACAAGAGTTTGATGTAGAAAGCAACTTCAAAAAAATCTATTATAATATGTGATCACAACTCACTCACAAGTTGTTGACAAAGTCATAATATAGTGTGAACATGATAACACAGTAGCTCTTAAAAGTCAAAAACTCATGTTGAAATAAATATTTTCTCTAAATTATTGTCTAGACTTTTACTCAAGTTTTCTCTAAAGCTTCTCATCCAAAGTAGAAATTGGTTTCATCTGTTTGCATAAGCAATTTTCAATAACATCATAATAGAAAGAGAGAACATGACACCGTTGCTCATCCAAATTCAGAGGTGGATGACGGATACAAAGGTGTGGAGATTTGTTGGCTTTGCATCAGCTATTGTTGGATTGCTTTGTTATGCTCTAAGTTCTTCCTTCAACCATCTATTTGGAAATTGGAATTTCATGAAAATATTTCTTTACACAGTTTTCAGTTTCATCATTTGTCTAATCATTTTGTTTGCAAGAACATGGCGAGACTCAACAAGTCTTCGGTTCAAAGCTCATTCAGCGTTTCTGGTATTGGTAATTACCTCTTTCTATTCTTTTTTCTCTGATAAAGTTATAACTGGAAAACCAGATCTATATAGTCCGATTTCATATGCCGCCTTTGCTCTCATGTCACTTAGTTTATCAAGACAAATTCAATGCGGATTCGAAGTGGATCTTATGTACTTTTATCTAGGATGTTTAATTATACAACTCATGAAGATTAAATTGCCGTTAGCTATTATTGGAGCATGTTATAGCTACTGTCTTATTATTCTTCGTTCTACTTTCTCTTCCTTAAGTGTTTCACCAGAAAATCAGTATCTCGAAGAACAGCGTATAATCATTCGAGTTGATTCACAACACCATGAAAATATCAATACTGGTACCAACGTCATGCAAGAGTTTATGACTTGTATGGATGAGCTTACGCAGAATAATTCAAACATTGCGAAAATGCTTTTAGATAAGGTGAAAGGTAACTATAAATTGGTGGCAACTGATCACAATTTCATAGTTGATGCCATTGCGGTTGAAACAATCGACCACCTTCAGAAAACGGTTAAATCAATGGTGGATGCTGGGTCTGAGAAGGTGTGTTCCGACTTGTACATTGTTATGCGTAAAGAATGGTTGGAAAGTTTATTAATAAATAAATTATTAGGATTGGGAAAGATGGGATTTCAGGATTATATGATTGGAAGATGGATTAAAGTTTTCAAGCTTGCTCTTAGAATACTATTTCCTAGTGAGCAACGACTCTATGATATTTTCTTCTCGGAATCCACTTGTATATCATCTGATATCTGTTTCACTAAGGTGTGTCATGGAGCAACGATAGAACTGTTGAATTTTGCTGATTTGTTTGCGAATAGAATCACCTCACCATGGCGTTTGTTTAAAATTCTTGACTTGTTTGAGACTATAGATGATTTGATTCCCGAATTTGAATCATTGTTTACTGATTCGTTGGTGAACGAAGCAATAAAAATGAAGAACAAATTGGGTGTAATAAGTAGAGACATTTTCATGGAGTTTGAGAATCTGATCTTTCTTACACCGGTTGGGAAGTTAGACAGTTGGGTTGATGGTGGAGTTCATCCAATGACCTGCGAGGCCACTGGAAACATACTTGTGGCTTTCTGGTCAAGACAGAACCTGGAGAAAGTTTTACGAGAATACTCCGTGGTTGGTGCTGATGGAGCAGGAACATCTTTGTTCTACTCGCGGATGGAACTGATAATGGAGCAGTTTGAGAGAAATTTGGAAGCTAAGTCGCAGATTTATGAGGACCCTGCTTTGCGTTACTTTTTCATGATGAATAATACAAGTCAGGTTGAGTACTTATTGGAAACTTTTTGGGATGATAGATTTTGCAAAAACGCGACTCAATACTTGGAACTCTATTGTAAAAACTCATGGGAAAAGGTGATAGACTTTTTGAAGATGGATATCAATGAGTCAGTGGCGCCCGATTCTAAAGCAGATTTAATTAAAGACAAGCTCAACTTGTTCGATCAAAAGTTCAAGGAGATGTGTAGAATTCAGTCTAAATGGCGTGTTTTTAACAGGCAGTTAAAGAAGCAAATAATAATTTATGTAGAAAACATGTTGATGCCGGCTTATGAAAACTTGATTGCAAAGTTTGAGAACCATGATGGTAAAAATGCTGACGAGTATACCATGTATGGGGTGTCTGACATTCAAGATCAACTCAATAATTTGTTTCTGTTGCAGGATGTCGAGTTTGTTAGAGGAGTGGTTAGTAATCAATGAATTAGTTAGTAAGGGTTGGTTAGTGTTACTCATGGCAAATGAGAACATTTTTATCACCACAAACTTGTTCTAAAGGATCTGTGCTCTATATATCACTGTAAATATATTTTACATTAAGGTGTCATAAAGGTTTTTTTTGTTGAAATCGACTCGCAAGAACAACTAGCCAATCCTGATATTGCTGGTACAATGGAACAGCTAAAGACTTATCTCAACACACTTCAGCAGAAAACTATGAATCTTGTCCAAATGCTTTTGAAGCATGTGAATGATTACGATGACTCTGAACTGATGGATCACGCATCAGAAATATCCTTTCGGGTTTTACCTACTCTTCTACTCGGTTCAAAGAGGTTTTTCACGTAGCAACATTGCAGCTTCTGAATTTGGTTGATGCAGTTGCTGATGGAAGCCCTTCAATATGGCGTTTGTTCAAAATGCTCACAATCTTTGAGACATTGCATTAACTTATACCAAAATTGCAATTTGCTTCTGACGCTTGCATATTTCTCAAGTTCAGATCTAATTTGCTTCTGAAGTAATATTCACTTTAACATCTGCAGCAAACATTCTCAAACAAATTTTAGAGTATATAATTCTTTAATACAAAATTTCATAAGAGTTATCATCAAAACATAGAGATATTATTAAGAATCAATCTGTGTTCTAACAATCTCTCCCTTTTGATGATGACAAAAACATCAGAAATTTTTTTCAATAAATAATATAATTATAACTCCCCCTGAGATGATGAATCTCCCCCTGAACTGAATACTTAGAAGAAATAGAAACTTCCTTTTTTGCATGAGTATTCTTTTCAGAATCAGAGCCTGATTGTTCCAAAAATTAGATCTTGCATGTTTCAGAATCAGAGTCTGATAGGTTAAAACTAGATCTGGGGATCTCAGGGTTATTCTTAAAGAGTTTGTCAGAATTTTCAAATGTTCTGAAATACTAAGAGTTCACGTTAGTTAAAAAAATATATAAATTTATATGTCTGAATTTTCATTTAGGTAGAGTTTATTTGAACAGTCAGATCCATTTTCTCCCCCTTTTTTGTCATAATCAAAAAGTAAAAACTTTTAAAAGACAAATAAAAGAAAATACAAAAAAGATAAATCATGTAGAGAAAACACTGAGTCATTCATTCATTCAGAGCAAAAGAAACAAAGATTAGATAAATTCAAGTACATGTGCACAAACATCAGATACAGAAAAATAAACATAAACTAGGTTTGCTTGGACAAAATCATCTTCAACAGGTTAGTGATCTCAGATGAAGACTCTTCTTACTTTGTCATTCACTTAGCCATGTGTTCATTCTTCTGATCTTGTTTGGACATCCATTGAGACATGTCTTCAGATTTCTAGTCTTGCTTGGCCATCCATAACTTAATCTCAGATTGTCCAGCTTCCAAAACTACAATCTTATCTTCCAAATCTGGATTCTCTTTCTTGATCTCAGATGAAGAAGGTGGGGCAGATTCTGAAGCAGGAACAGAGTCAATTTCCATAGGAGATGCAGAGTCATGAGCAGCAGATCCAGAGGTATGTTCCACAATAGTCATAGCCAGAGGATTTTCTTCAGAAGCAGATTCAGCAGTTACTTCTATATCAAATACTTCAGATGATGAAGGAACATTCTCAAGAAGCAATGGTTCAGATCTTTTAACAGTCCAGAGCAAGCTTCTAGCAGTCTCAGCAAATCTGAGCTCCGCATCATCAGAACTTACATTCTTCAGATTTGAGGCTACAGTATTGAATCTGTTGATAAAGTTATTCTAGATAGCATCAGATTCATTTGCATCCATTGTGGACAAACATCTCTTTTGAACAGAGCCTAAATGCATCTTTATTTCTTTCAGAAAACTTGCAAACAAATTATCAACATTCAACCTAGATTTTGGTTTTAGAAGGGTTTCCAATGTGAATGGCTTGGGTTGAGGTGAAGGTGGAATGGTAAATTATGGAATGATGACCAGAGGACGAGGGTAGAAAGGAATGGATGGAGAATCAGATGAAGTGATAGATTTGGATCTGATTAAGGCATTAATTAAAAATGGTTTTGCATTTAATGCATAGGAAACAACATCAAATGAGGTAGAAGTGTAAGGGATGAAAGCAGATTTATCAGATAAAAGAGGTTATGATGAAACCCTGTTTGGCAGTTCTTTTATATATGTTTGGAGAACAGATGGTAGAATGATGGAAAGCTTAGGTTTAAAAGGGGTGATAGAGTCAGATGGTTCAATTCTGTGATAGAAATTTTTGAACTTGAAACCAGAAGGAAGTGGATCAGAGGGGAATGGTTTAAAAGAAGCAAAGGATACAAACTCAGATCTCCTTGGCTTAGGTTTTGTAGTGGTTTTGGGAATGAGAATTTCAGATGAAACAGGTGGTTCTGGGTGGTTAGTTTCAAATACTCTGAGATAGGGAGGTGAAATGAAATCTGGATGGATATCAGATTCAGATGAATTGGATAAGGTGGTTGGGGTGCAAGATGTAGAAGAAACTTCAAATACAGTCTTGAGAGGTGTAATGTTTAGAACCTCAGTCTCAGGTATATTTGTTTCAAGAGGATTGGTTGGTTCTGGTTGAATCTTAGAAGGTTTGGATGGAGGTTCAGATACAAGTGGTTCAGAAACAGGTGATTCAGAAACAACTTGTTCAGGTGCAACAGGATCAGATTGTATGGGTTCAGATGTATCTGGTTGTTGTTGTGGTGTAGGTTGTTTTGTTGGGTTTGTTTGAGGGGTTGGAATTTGGTCTGCTGGTGTTGTTGTTATTGGTTCAGATGGTGGAGTAACAGAAGTTTTTAGTGGAGTAGTGGAAATAGGATCAAATGATTTTTGAGGGGAAGGAATTTTTGATGGTTCAGATTTTTGAGATGGAGCAGGAATAGATTGTTTTTGAGTAGGAGGAGGTTTAGGAATAGAACTAAATGTTGATTCATTTATAACAATTTTAGAAAAAGAAGATACAGATGATTTAGTACCTTTAGTCTTTATACGCTTGGTAGGAACAGAGGGAACTTCTCCAGAAGTTTTTCTCTTGATCTGCTTCTGTGGCTTGTCAGCAACTTTTGGCTTTTTCTGAGCAGCAACTTCTTCTGCCTCTGATTGACTTCTTTTCCGCGTGTTCTCATTATATACATCTAGCATGGGTTCTCTTAATCTTATCAGAATATCTGCAGGAATAGGCGTTCCATCTGCTTTGCATGCATCAATATACCTAACAATGATATCCCTTGGTTCTTCAGCACCAAAAAGTGGAAAATTTTCAACTGGAATCCTCTTCTGACTGATTTCAGAAATATTCAACTTCTTGGGTGCAGCTGTGAGTTCATCTACAATCTTTAGTCTCTGAAGACTCTTTGCATTTAGTGGTTTTCCAACAATGGATTCAAGTTCATCCTTAACTCCAACTTCATGCAGAGCAGTTACTAGACCATTCTCTGTCAGAATGTCTGAAATCAATCTTCCAAAGGGAATCCATGTCCTGATCTTCTGTCCCTTATTCTTTACAGATTCTCTTGAAGCATTGATATGGTTCCACAGATGCATAAAGAGTATGTAAGGAATATCTACCTTTATACTCTGACTCAAACAGTACATAAAGTAGAATTGTTCATTATTTACGTAATCTGGAGAATTGGTGGATTTTCTGTGATGGATGCATCCCAGAAAAATCTTTGCCCAGATCTTATAGTCAGGCTTCAGATCCTTAAATTTGTTAGAGGCATGTCCAGATGTAATGACTTCCTCATAGACTTCTTCCATATCCACACGCCCAACTGGCATATGACATACACCATCAGTCTCCTCATATCCTATGAGTTTTCTGATGAGATCTTCAGTTATGATGATCTCCTTTCCCAGAATAGAAGATAAAATGAATTTTGGACAAACAGAAGCATGTATCAAGAATTCCTTCACCAGATGAGGGTAAACTGGTCCAAACAGTCTGTCAAAATACTTAACCCATCCTTGTGCATCAATTATGGAACGAAACTCAAACCCATTTTCAGCTCAAGAGTCAAATTCCACCATGGATTCACAGAGAACTTCAAGTTTGTCCACAGGGGTTAACAATGTCGTTTTAGGTACCGTGAATGGAGTCACGCCCATATTTGCTGACGTAACTGCAGCCATAGTTGATTGAAATTGAGCTGCTGTAGAGGATGAGGTTGCCATTGAAGAAGATGAAGATGATTTGGACGAAGGTTTAGGGTTTTTGTGGAGAGCAAAGAGAAGGCAGAAATGCATAAAATGGTTTGTAAAGTGAAAAGTGTGAATTTGGTGTGAAGTGTGATATATATAGAGGAAGCAATTAGGGCAATCAAACAGACACAAACGCACGTTTTCACATAGCATTAAATGACAATTAATGAAAGAGAATAAAAATCATTTCAAACATTAATTGATTCTGACAAATTGGGGGGAAAATCAAGATTTCCACTATTCAAACCATACCTCAAATGTCTCTTCAGTAGTGTACACGCTATCTTTTCAGATTCAGAGTGACACGTGTTTGCTTGCATGTGCTTTTGAATTATCTTGAGAAATGAAACGTTAGTCAACGTTCAGATCCTCTAAGATTGGTTAGTTCAGATACACACAAATAATAATAACTAAATAAATCAAATAATTAACAGATGAAATACTTCAGAGTTTTAAACATTTTGCATCTGAGAAATTTGCTTCTGATAAATATCATTCTGGACAAAAAACCATACCAATATTTTTTAGAATAAATTTGAACCTATCTTCAGCAAGGGGTTTTGTGAAAATATATGCCCATATATGATCTGTATCAACAAAGGCTAAGTTTATAATACCCTTCTGAACATAGTCTCTAATGAAATGATGTTTAATTTCTATATGTTTTGCCTTAAAGTGTAAAATAGGATTTTTAGACAAACATATAGCAGAAGTATTATCACAGAAAATAGAAATGTTACTCTCAAATATCTGATAGTCTTCTAGCTGACTTTTCATCCA